AGCAAATGTTGAAATTCACATGTTTTGGAGAGTCATACTCCTCTATATTATCTTACTCCTGATATTATTATGGCTAACCACATATAATATAAATAATATTTGATGAAAAATGACGCGGTCATGAATTTATTCTGCACAAGAAAAAAAAATTTGTAAATGATTTGTTTTGTTTTATGATCAGTAGATAATTAATGTTTTTGACTTTACTCATTATTATAAAATATAATATCACTATAATTGTAATGTGTAGTGTAAATGTGTTATTTTCATCTTAATCATAATATTAAAGTTACGAGAGGGTCTGGGCTCCCGTAATGTTAAGAGGATATTTTCGAGGATTTTTCATTCTCGTAACATTACGATACTTGTGTCAACGCCACCGGTTTACGAGTGGACGTTAAAGGACAATTGAATTCAAATTTTCTAACTTTGTAACGTTTTTATACATAGAAATACATTCAATAACGTATTCCATTTCAAATCCGGCGCCCAATTAATAATAAACACATGATTAGTAATCTAGGTCATGTGACGTCACGGCCCCAAGTTAAACGACGCCACGCTAACGCAAGTTGAGTGTTGTGCATAAGATGGAAACAGAAAGCGATAATTTCAATTATTCTAGTGATTATGCATGTGATGAAGATATATATAGTGATTTACCAGTTGGATATAGGTTTGAGCCTTAATATACACAAGAAGAAATTGAGGAGAATCGTCTGAAAAAGCAACGCGAAGAGTTGGCACAACAATGGCAGAATGGAAGCTTCGGTACCCGATAGAACTGTAGACAAATACTGCATGGTGTTCTTGTGGTGTTTGTGAATTAATGAGTACAGCACTTGAATGTATATGCTGCCATGAGAATGAGAAGACCAGGGTTATTGTAGACCAGTTCGACGCTAGACCAGGCGAGTCATGCGAGCACTGATCACCGGGCTTATCATGCTCGGTCAGAATCACATGTATCTGCATGTACATGTACATGTATCTACGCAAGTCATGTACATATATCGTGAATGCATTATCCTCACAGGTAAAATGTATGTACATGAATATAAGTACATTTACAGGCTACATGTTTGTGTCTTGACATGATAAATAAGCATGAGAAATAACAAAAAACATCGAATATTTAACCACCGCACGCACTATGTTTACATAATGGCGTCGCTCAACTTGGGCCGTGACGTCACATAACCTAGATTACTACTCAGATTACTATCAGGTGTTTGTTACTAATTGGACGCCGGATTTGATGAAATAGAATACGTTATTGAATGTATTTCTATGCATAAAAACGTTAGAGAACTGAGAAGTTAGAAAATTTGACTTCAATTGTCCTTTAATGTTAAGACTAATTTTGTTTCTGACAACGGGCCCCTGGATCCTAATGTGGCAATCCCGATAACCTTGTTGCGAAACAAATAAGTTACAGAACCCTATATTTTATGTGATGCACCATGTATAGTCACCAGGACTACTAAAGATCCATTTCGTGTAACTAGAAATTCAATTCGTTTGCCAGATAGTACACAGTGAGCACAGTCTAGACCATAACACAAATGGCCGGCTTTGGCCTAGTTGAGTTGTTGTTGTTGAACAATCCAGGGCCGGGGTCATCGACCAGATAATCATGCAGAAAACTAACAATCGCAAAAACTACTGCGTGTGCTTTTACGATTTAAACGACGTTCAAATACACAAATATTACCTGATCCACTTCTTGGGAATTTATTGGATTCACCACTCAGCCTGGGACGTTTTATTTGAAAGTCATTTACTGGAAAGTCGGACTCCATCGCAGACGCGACGCGCAAACACAACATTTCATGACGTCATCACTTCGTGTGTCCATCGTCAATAACATGGTTGACGTGGCCGAACTGATATCGTAGGAAGTTTCATTTCGGTAGAAATATTGTCAATTTAAACCCTTAAGGGTTGTCTGAGAAAGCTTTAGCGAGACACAATGTTGACCAAGTTTGAGACAAAGTCGGCACGGGTGAAAGGACTGTCATTTCATCCTAAAAGACCATGGATCCTCTCAACATTGCACACCGGCGTTATTCAGGTACATGATGATGATCATACATGCATGAGATTTCATATCATAATTCATGGTCATTATATAGATGGTCATATACATATCATATACTAAATGTCTTTATTCAGTATTCTATATCTATAGTGTAGTGTGGTGGGCATGTTAATTATTGTATGATAATGCTAATTAATATATAGCCTCAGTTTTAAACACGTTTGTAAGTCAAATATATGATTATAGTTGCTGTGTTTCTCATGCCTGTTGTTTTATAATATATTAGCTGTGGGACTACCGCATGTGCACACTGCTAGACAAGTATGATGAGCATGATGGCCCCGTGAGAGGGATCTCCTTCCACAGTCAACAGCCACTGTTTGTGTCGGGTGGTGACGACTACAAGATAAAGGTAAAACTAAAAGCTACGTGCATTATCCTATAATTAGTAGCGATAGTGTGTAAATTAATCGATAATGAATAACATCCTTAAACAGAAGTCTCGTGAAAAAAAATCAAAACGTTGGGATAGGATATTGGATTAAGCTCTCTAAGATATATTGCACACTTCCTCACATGGGAATCTAAAACGTACCTTCGTGCGAATCCTGGTAATGAAATTGTATAAAGCTAGGCAATCCTGTGGGTGCAGGAGAGCGAGTTTTCTGATTCGTATCGCGAATTTAATTAGTCGTCACGTTTCACTAGGAATCGCGTGCAAGCGAATTTCACGTAACACAGGTCGACGTCGTACCGCTGTGCATCAGTCATTTACCGTAATTATTCACTCGTTATTATGTCACGATCATCGTGATCGATTGATCAAACAATCGATCGATCGATTGTCCGCAGGTGTGGAACTACAAGCAGAAGCGATGCATCTTCACACTGCTCGGTCACCTTGACTACATCCGCACGACGTTCTTCCACCACGAGTACCCGTGGGTCCTCTCCGCGTCCGACGACCAGACCATCCGCATCTGGAACTGGCAGGTACACAGAGACACGCACTGACTGTACATATAGACTGTACATATGAATATGCACAGATGCCACACCTACCAGGGTTGGGATACCCTATAGGTATTCCCTAGAACTGGCAGGTGTGCGGAGACACGCAGTGACCAGTGTGATGTACGTACATGCATGCACGTGAACAGATATTCACAGTTAGGGTTAGGATTCTCTGGGTGATAGCCTGCAGGAGTGCAAGTTCCCGCCGCGAGCAGAGTAGGGTGTTTCTCCCGCGCGAAAAAGAAGAAGAAAATAGAAAATTTTGCGGTAGTGAACACGAGATATGTTTGTTTAGCAACTTGTTTTTTTAGGACTTACACGCCAAAATTTCCTCTTTGCGGCTCCTCATTGCTAAGCACGACCTTTAGAACCTCCTACGGCAACGGCGATTGGTCAGAACGAGGGTCAATCTCAATCGTGTGGTCATGTCGTTGCAGTCGCGCACGTGCATATGCGTGCTCACCGGCCACAACCACTACGTAATGTGCGCAAACTTCCACCCGTCCGACGACCTGGTTGTGTCGGCGTCGCTCGACCAGACCGTCCGCGTGTGGGACATCTCTGGACTGCGGAAGAAGAACGTCGCCCCGGGTCCGGGCGGACTCGACGACCACGTCAAGAATCAAGGTACAGGGCGCTGGCATCTGTGTGTGTATGTGCATGTGCATGTGTGCGTAAGCGTATGTTCATGTGCATGTTTGTGTAAAGGCGTGTGTGTGTGTGTGTGTGTGCGTGTAACTGTGTGTGCGCGCGTGGGTTGGTGCCTGGTGTTTGTGTATGCGTGTGCTTGTGTATGTTGTGTATATGCTATAATATTGTATCAATGTGCACGAAATACTAGTAATACTGATCTTCAATTTCTTCAACTTTGTCTGTGTGGTTAGATTAAGTGTGATGTGCACTCATACTGCTATATAGTGGATTACTGTTAGCATCTAGTTTCTAATTGCATTGCTGTGTAAAACTCATCACTGTTTGCAACTAATTCACCACTTAATTGTTTGTTGTTTACGTGTTCTAATGTTGTGCATGCATTGCAAAGCGGGTACGTGCCTGTTTCCTTAGTGTTCCTTCCTTCGTGTTTTCTTTGTGTTTCCTTAGCGTAGATTTCCTTTTAGCTGCATGCGTTGGAGTAGACGTGTGAATTCGTTTTCATACAAGGCTGTGTTTAAACATTATAGATGCGATGAAATGGCAGAGAAAGTGCAATTCTTGTTTGAAAACGCATCAAATTTGACAAGTAACCTTGGTTAATTCCTTGTTTGCATCGAAAATGCTTCTAGGAATTCAAAACTGACAGGGAATTACTTGATTGTAAATTGTATTGACTAAACTTGATAAGGAAATCTTGATTAGAAAATCTATCTCTCACTCTCTCTCTCCCTTCCTCTACCTCCCTCTCTCACTCCCTTTTCTCCCTCTCCCTTTCCTCTTTCTCCCTTTCCTCCCTCTCGCTTTCCCTCCCTCACTTTCTCTCCCTTCCTCACTCTCTCCTCCTTCTTACTCTTCCCACTCTCTCTCCTCTCTCTCTCCTCTCTCCCTCTCCCTCTTCCTCTTCCTCTCCCTTTATCTCTCTCTTTTCCTCCACCCCCACACTCTCTCTTCCTCAACTTGAACGGGGCGTGGCCGCCACGCGGTGCTCTCTTTCTCAGGACACACGGACCTGTTCGGCACTGCCGACGCGATCGTCAAGCACGTGCTGGAGGGCCACGACCGCGGCGTCAACTGGGCGGCGTTCCACGCGACGATGCCGCTCATCGTGAGCGGGGCCGACGACCGCCAGGTGAAGCTGTGGCGGATGAATGACGCGAAGGCGTGGGAGGTGGACACGTGCCGCGGACACTACAACAACGTCTCGTGCGCGCTCTTCCACCCGCGGCAGGACCTCATCATCAGGTGAGTAAGCGCGGGTGGGGGCGCGCGCCGCTCCGTGCGGTGGCGGCGAACCTGCGCAGAAGGGTCACGAGAAGGGAGTGGCGTTGGTTGTAGAGGTGGCGTTCCATGTTCCCTAGCGGCTGTTACTCAAGGGATGTGCCAGAAGTGTCCTTTATAGACAGGCGTCAGCTCTACAGAGGTGACCACTAACACAGGTTTAACGTTACCACAGGCTGTTAGACCTCACAGGAATAGTATTCATAACAGGAAAAGCGTAGATTCCACACAGACATTATCGCATGCATACAGACACTGTGTCAGTCAGCAAATGTAGGGGGAGTGGTGTAGAGAGGTTTAGGTAGAAGGCAGCAATATTACATAGGTAACAGGGCTCGAATTTCCCCAGTTTGAGGACTAATCCGTACGGATTTGTTCCTTCACAAATGAGCAAATCCGCTCAAAATCTAAGTAATCCTTACAGGGTAGGCTAAATTTTACTATGAAAGAAAAAATTGCATGCAGGACAAACCGTCCTGAATAAAATACCTTAAAGTTAAACGTCGCTATTTTAGCGTTGGGAGCTCAGCATTTTATTGTACAGATTTGTCAGATAGTTGATTGAAATGCTGTATAATGGCTCTGCCACCACAGACTCTGTGTTTGCTCTGTGTACATTTAATGATTTTAAGACAAAATAGACTAAGAAGTTGCTGAGGTTGAAGGAGCATTGTTACGCCAAGTTGTTTTTAAGTAATCCATACGGATTTCCTTCAGGTTTCCTCATGAAATCCGTAACAAATCCGTAGGGTAATTTACCCTACGGATTACCGGATTACCTCTGCAGTCCGGCATGACTATAACCAATGCTTGCCTCACTCCGCAGTAATTCCGAGGACAAGTCGATACGAGTTTGGGACATGGCCAAGAGAACTTGCCTGCAGACGTTTCGTCGGGAGGGCGACCGATTCTGGGTGATCACATCGCACCCTGCACTGAATCTGTTTGCCGCCGGCCACGACAGCGGTATGTGATCGCGCACGGTGCGGCGACAGGATTTACAATTTATTAAATAACTATGTGGATTATTAATCATTTATAAATTTTTTTTACTGATGTGACACTTGCTCCTGTTTAGGTTGGTTGTTTCCATCTTAACGAGATCTAGTTACCAATCTTGCCTCCTCGAAGGAACATAAAGCATGTGGCAAGACTCATAAATGTCCTGAAATCAGTTATAGGATAAATCACTCTAATAACCTATTACCTTTCAGCTCATACCTAACCTATCATACTACTTCAGCTACCATACCTAACATATCGCTCAAATATATCGTTCAAATATATTGCACAAATATATCGTCAAAATACATCGTCAAAATATATCATTCAAAGAGTCGTCTGCGTGAGCTGGTATGTGTGTGTAGTAACGTGGTCGCGCACGTGTGTGTGAGAGCTGTAACATCTGTGTAGTAACATGGCCACCTGTATTTATTGTTGCAGGTATGATCGTGTTTAAGCTGGAGCGTGAGCGGCCGGCGTTTGCCGTGCACAACAACGTGCTCTACTACGTCAAGGACAAGTTCCTGCGACAGCTAGACTTCAACACGAGCAAGGATGTCGCCGCCATGCAGCTGCGCGGCGGAATCAAAGGTGCGCCGAACATACCGACTACGTTGTTACATCATTACGGCACATACACAAACACGCGTGTGCACTGATACACATTACTACATTGTTACATCATTACGGCACATACACAAACATACACACACGTGTACGCATACACATTACTACGTTGTTACATCATTACTGCACATACACAAACATACACACACGTGTACGCATACACATTACTACATTGTTACATCATTACGGCACATACACAAACATACATACACGTGTA